TTCCATAATTACCAGCCAGCAGTGTGTCACAGTAAGTTAAGCTGCTGCTAGTGACACAACATCTCTGAATGTAGGTTCTAGTCCAGATCTTGCACTGCTAACACTTCTGGAAAAACGACAGAGGATGACCCAAGTGCTTAGGGCCTTGCTAACCATATGAAAAACCCACATGGGAGTTCCATATTCCTGGCTTTGGCCTGGCGTAGTTTCAGCTGTTCCCAGCTGTCCCATCCATTTGGGGAGTGATCTAAAAGATCATCTGTCTCCCCATCTCTCTAGAACTCTTTCAAGCAGATAGATGTCACCCCCTCCTTTTTTTCCCAAAAGAAATATACATATATTCAAAATTTGAATAATATATGCTTGGATATAAAAGCAAGTCTCAGAGGATTTAAACCAAAGTATGTTCTGGCTATAGCAGTTAATCTGGAAAATGCTAGAGAAACTGAAAGATTAAAAGTTAAATACTTTGGGACCAGGGTGATGCTTCAGTTGACTAATCCTACACCTGCAAGTGCCTGCTCTACCCAGCTGTTCCATTTTTGATCCAGCTACTTGGCTTGTGGCCTGGGAAAGCAAGATGGTGGCCCAAAGCTTTGGGATTCTGCATCCACATGGGAGGCCTCTGGAGGAAGCTCCTGGTTCATGGTTTTGTCAGCTCAACTCTGGCTGTTGTGGCCATTTGGGGAGTGAATCAGCAGATAGAAGACCTTTCTCTGTCTCTCTGGTACTCCTTCTCTCTGTAAAATCTGCCTTTCCAATTTAAAGAAAATGTTAAATACCTTTGTTCACAAAGGTCTATAGAGCAAAGACAAAATAATGATGACTTCAGAAAAATGTGTTGGGTTGAAGGATGATAAACATGCTACATTACTAACACTGGTACAGTGCAGATAAAACTTGTTAGTTGAAATTGACAGACTACAGTTTTTACATAGAAAAGAAGTGTTACTGATTTTAAGGCTAAGCATTCACCTCAAGACATTAATTAAAGCCAAGCAAAATAAGAAGGTTAATAATGAAGTTAAGAACGGAAGTTAATGCACTAGAAAGCAAACACACTAAGGAGAGAATTGTTCCTCCAAGGAGGGACTGCTTGAGAAAAAGACACCGATGACCATTTTCAATAAGAAAGATGCATTGCTACTGTTCTTATAGTCATTAAAGTGAATATTTTCAGGAAAAAAAAAATCCTTGGGTCAGGTGATTTCTTTATCAGAACCTGGCATGAATGTGGCTGAAGAGAATTTAGGTTGATTTTGCTCATGAACAGATATAAAAATTCTAGGGTACAAACAGAGACCTTAAGAATTTATAAAAATTGAAATTTGACATTCACCCAAAATTTATGAAATAATTAAAAAACAAATTAGTTTTTGCACAAAAATTGAACATCTGTGTGTGAAAGATCTTCCAGTGGTTCCTGTAAATACATATTATGTTGAGTTTTGATGTTCCTCATATACAGCATCAGGTTTGTTTATCCTTGGAGTGTGAGATTGGCTTAATGGTAGAAAGGCTGTTAGAATAATTTACACATAAAAAGAGTAAAGCCAGATAGCCACCTCAAGATATGCCAAAGGCACCTGTTGAAAACCCTTAGCTGTTGGGGAATGGAAAAGTTCTTTCCTTTCAGATGAAAAACATCTACAGAAATGCTCACATCAAAGGTGACATTTCATAGTGAAATTGAGAAGGCTTTCCCTCTCAGATCAGGTGAGATAGACACCTGGGGTCACCCTTCCTTTCAACAGTGGATTATAATTCTCTGCCTGTGTGAAGGTGTAAAAGACACATAGCATGCAAGAATTCAGATGGAAGAAATAAAACCATCAGTTGCAGATAAAATGAGCCTATGTATTTAGAGAGAAAACATGAAATAAATGATTAGGAATGATAGAAGATGGGAGAAGTTCGAGTTAATGAGTAGATTAAATTACTAGGGTTGAGTTCATGCATGAATTTAGCAAGGCTGCTTCTGCTAGGTACATTGTCATGATGCAGAAATAAATAGTTGGAATCAAAGAAAGTGAAAGTTTTAAAGAATTGTTTGCCTAACAAATCTAATGAAAGGTGTTTAGGATCTTTTTACACACAGCTGTAAAGTGTTGAAAATAATCTAAATACAAGGTGGTGTATTATATTCATGGATTATAACTTTTTTTTATATCAGTTTCCCTCAGATCAAGTCTTTTAAAAAGATTTATTTTAATTTAACCCTAACCCTGCGAATACTTATTGGGGGCCTCAGATGGAGGGGTGGGGGGCAGCCAGAATCTCTGCCTTGGCCACCTGTCTCCTTGCCACCTGCCCTTAGTTTTTTTGTTTGTTTGTTTGTTTGTTTTTTAATTTTCTACCTGCACTATGAGCACTTTGTAGTTATTTTTTTTAACCACCACATGATTACAGTTGGCATTGCCCACTCAGCAGTGGAAAATGAATTGAATTGTCTAGCCTCCCTCCTCCATGCTGGGTGCTGTTCAGCACCCCCACTCAGGGTTGTGAGGTGAGTGGGCAAGGGGCCCCTGTAGCTGGGTCCAGGCACCCCACCCCCTGAGGTCCCACCCGGCTATTAAAGGGGAATGTTACCACACACACACACACACACACACACACACACACACACACACACACACACAGTGAGGGACAGAAAGATCTTTATCTCCAAATGGCCATATCTGCCAGGGCTGGGCCAGGCTAAACCCAGGAACTTCATTTGGGTGTTGTGGCTGCAAAGGTCCATACACTTGGGCCATCTTCTGTTGCTTTCCCAAGCACATTTACAGGGAACTGGATGGAAAATGGAGCAGCTGGGACTTGAACTGGCACCAAATATACAATGCTAGTGTCACAGGTGATGGTTTAAGCCACTGTGCCACAACACTGGTGTTTAACTCTACATTTGATGAATATTGACCATCAGAATATGAAATTGTAGTTTCTCTCAAAGGGCTGAAAGAGCCAAAACAATATTAAGAAAATAGAAGAAGATACTTTAGTGGCTACTGAGATTTAATATAAAGTGAGTGTATTGTAATCTCAACAGAATGGCAGATATATTGACCAAGAGGACAAAAATAGAGCCATACAGACATTTTATTTATGAAAAGATGTATCCCTGTGGGCCCAACGAAGCAGCCCAGTGCTGAAGCCGCCGTTGCCTTGCAGGCCCCAGGATTCCATATGGACACTGTATCTAATCCTGGTGGCCCTGTTTCCCATCCAGCTCCCTCCTTGTGGCCTGGGAAAGCAGTTGAGGACGGCCCAAAGCCTTGGGACCCTGCACCCACATGGGAGACCCAGAAAAAGTTCCTGGCTCCTGGCTTTAGATTGGCTCAGCTCTGGCTTTTGCGGTCACTTGGGAAGTGAATTCTCAAATGGGAGATATTTATCTCTGTCTCTCCTCCTCTCTGTATATCTGTCTTTACAATACAAATAAATAAGTCTTAATAAAACTTTTGGAAGATGATATGGGGTTTTCACGGCGTTGGGATTGAGAAACATTTCTAAAGCTGGACATAAAAAACATAAGGGGTAATGGACAGGATTGTGAGTTTGGACTAAATAAAAATGAGGAACTATGTTTAGGATTCCAGAAACAGCAAAAAGGCAAGTCACGGAACGAGAGGGATGTCTGCACAACAGATGATGCACAGTGGGATCCCATCCAGGACTTATAAAAGGCTCCCGCCAAGCAGTGGAGGAAAACCTGGGCAGTTCAGGGAAGACTGGGCAGGGGGTATAGTTTAAGCAGATATTTGTAAAAGAAGTTATGCTGAGAATCCATAAATAAATGAACTTGGATTAGTAGTACCAGTTGTAATGGTACAAGGAGGAGGAGGAATGCAAATTGTTATGGAGGTGGAAGTTCTAGAACCAGGTTGAGAAGCTATTTGGAGTTACCTACTTGAGAATTTCAGCATAGTCTGCAGTAATTCTGCTCATGAGTATGTGCTCAATAAAAGTACGTGCCTGTGTGTATCAAAAGACATTTTAAAAATGTGCTATTTGTTATATTCCCAAACTGCAAATAATCCAGATGTTCATTAATGGACAAATGGATAAATAAACACAATTTATATAAAAGACTGCACAGAGCAGTGAAAATTATCAAACCCAATTACATGTAGCAGATGGCTGCCACAAACACAATTTTGAAAAAAAGGACAGGTACGTTATAGTACTATTGCATAATCATGTTTATGTAAAGGTAAATATCTGCCAAACTAATGATAGTGTGGCTGGTAAATGTTGTGAGATGGCAGGAGTTAAGGGAGGAGCTTCTTGTTATGTTTCTTGCTCAGGTTTTGGGTATGTGGAGTATTCGCTGAAATACAAAGTCTAAAGTCCTTTTATATTTGTAGTAATTTGACAACTAAAAATGTATCTCATAGGGGATGCAATTTCTGTGTGCTTTACTGTTTTAAGGCACACTTTTTTTTTCTGTCTTAAAGATGTGAGCATTTGAAAGAGGAAAAGAGGTAAAGCAGGAAGGAGGAGGGTGGAAGAGAGAAACAGAAATCTTCCATCTGCCAGTTTGTCTGCTAAATGGCTACCCCAGCCACATCTGGGCCAAGCTGGGGCAGGAGGCAGGAACCCCATTCTGGCCTCCCACATGGCCGGCAGAAGCCTGTGAGTTGAGCCATTTTTTTGCTGCCACCTTTGGCGTCTTGGGAGGAACCTGGATCTGAAGTGGAGCCTCTGGGACCTAAATCAATCAGCACTTCAGTACAGGATGCCAGTGTTGTAAGCAGCTCTCTAACAGGCTGTGCCAGAGCAGTGACTTCATGGCTGACCTTTTTCACTCTCAGACAACTTCACTTTGCTCATTTTTCTGCAGACCGATTTTGCACTGGGTAATTGATCTGATTGTTTTTAACCAAGTTTGTTAGGTCTGGATGAAAACAGACATACATACACAATTAAGATTTGCATGCCAACTATTAACGTGACTGATTTTGCCAATCATTAGTGTGACTTTCTAAATTATTGTGTTTTAGGTTGTGATAAATTGTGCCATTCCTAAAGGGTTGAAGTACAATCAAGCTACACAGACCTTCCACCAATGGCGAGATGCTAGACAGGTGTATGGTCTCAACTTTGGCAGCAAAGAAGATGCCAATGTCTTCGCAAGTGCCATGATGCATGCCTTAGAAGTATTAAATTCGCAAGAAGCAGGTAAAGTGTCCATGGTTTACTTGCATTCTTGAAGTGAAATGCCATGTATGTTAAAGCAAATATTTTGATTAATTTGTAAATCATCCTTATTTGAAGCAGTTTTTGCATTTGTTTTTTCTACAAATATATGAGCTTTTGTTTGCTGGTAGTAAGCGTATAATCTACAAGTTTGATGGTAGGAGTTTAGCTATCATGGTAATTATAATTTCTGTCATTTGAAAATATTTGATTATATTCATCCTGCTCTACAAAATCTCCTTGCAAGGTTTGGAGGCCCAGAGAAGATGCAAGGAATTAGACATATTTATCGTCTTTTATGAAGAAATACTTTTTTTCCCAATCCGTTACTGAGCCAGTGAACTTCAGGCAGGACTCCGTCTCTGCTAGTACATAAAGATGGGATATGAAAATCATTTAAAGATTTTAGGAGTGCCCTCATGTGGCGTGAGCTATGAATTGCATCTGATACTGCATGTTCGTGTGGAAATAAGTTTAAAAAACAAACCAGAATTTAAAACTGTTGGGGATGAGTTTAGTTTTGTTTTGGTTTAAAAAATAGAAAAACACAGGTGTGTGTGGCTATGTTTTTGAAAAGATAGATTTTATAACCAGAAAATTAAGTGTTGTATGAAACATATTTACCTTTGCCCATATAGTTTTATTAGTAGTAATTTTAATGATATGTGTGCTGTTAATGTTTATTGCCAAGTTTTAAGAGAAAAGACTTAACAGCTGAAAATTTGGGATTTTGTTGAAAATACAGAATTCCAAAACCCATTAAAGTATGTTAAATTATATTTATGCCTTGCCCTACTCTAAAGAGAACTGAACTGTTTAGCTTATGTATTAGTGCATTTTGGACTCCTGCAAAAAAGTTGCTATTAGATCTGTAGATAATTTCTGTTAGATCTTCTCTTGAGGAAATGAGTATCTATGAATAACTTGTACATGGTTTTCTTATTTAATCTTTTGTGAAAAAGTGAAGCATTGGGACTTCTGGTTTGCCTCTCTACATCTGGAAAACTGCACAGGAGAGCCTGTGCAGCCTGTGTGTCCCTCGTCTCGGGCCCTGCACTTTTCTGGAGGATAGCCATATTATATTGACATTCTACTTTAACAGTACAGCTGCTTTTCATTCAACTTTGTTTTACGTTAGGGAATAAACTGTAATTGTGATTCTTAATATCTAATTAAATAATTGCATCATAAAGAATCACAGTTTGGCAAGTTTGATATTTGTCTTCCCTATGTTTGGAACAAACTTAACAATATTTCTGTACCTTCAAAAGAACAACCAGTGATACTTTGAACAAAATATTAAATAGAATATAGTTAAACTTACAAATGCAAAGGATCATTTTTCTCAGGGAGTAATCATATTCCTCTATTTTTTTTTTCTTTTGATTTTATTTGTTTGAAATGGGATCTTAATGTGAAACTGCATCTTCTGTTGTAATAAGCATTAGGACATATTCCACATTATTCAAGGTTTAGTAAATAGGAAAATCACGCAGCCTTGGACTGCTGCACTAGCCTTTTGGATTTTTTATTGCTCTGTGTGCCATCTCAGTGGTAACTGGCTGGAGAGAGAACAGTGGATGTAACTGGTCCATCGTATCAGTCACCTGGTGCTGGAGACCAAGTCACTGGCAAAGAAACTCTTGCTTCTGTGTGGTTTTGCTGCTGCTGTTGCTTATTTTTTCAAAGAAAATAAAGCCTTAAAATGATGTAAGTTGATAGGTTTATTTAGGAAACAACTGTTTTCATAAATTAGTGTGAAATCCTGATTTCTGATTGTTGACGGCATTCATTGGAAGGAGGTAGATGCTAGGAGTGTCTCAGGGCGGCGTGTGGTTTCTCGTGAGCGTCACAGACGTAGGAGAGGCGTGCTCCCACCCCCCATATCCACCTAGACAACCGTCACTGATGTCACCTCAGCCGGGCCATGTCTTCCCTGCCACACTGACTGTTGGTTATGGAATTCACAGCCAGTTTCCTGCTGAAGCCATTGACTGTATTTCTGCCAAAACCAAATCAGGAAAGCTTGGGTCCCTTTCTCTAAACAAGTACTGGCTTAATAAAACTCATGAAGTTAAATCAGTTACAGAGATTAGATTTCTTAATTTGAGAAATTTCTTTGAAATTATTTTTTAAAAGATTTATTTTTATTGGAAAGGCAGATATACAGAGATGAGGAAAGACAGAGAGGAAGATTCTCCATCCGATGATTCACTCCCTAAGTGACCACTACAGCTGGAGCTGAGTCAACCCAAAGCCAGGAGCCAGGAGCTCTTCTGCATATCCCACATGGATGCAGGGTCCCAAAGCTTTGGGTCATCCTCGACTGCTTTCCCGGGCCACAGGCAGGGAGCTGGATGGGAAGTGGGGCTGCCGGGATTAGAACCAGTTAACCTAACCCTAACCATACCGGACCCCAGGGCCTGCAAGGCGAGGACTTTAACCACTACACTATCGTGCCGGGCCCTGAAATGATTTTCTTAATTGAACATTTCTCTTTTTTTGTTTATTAGACAGTAATGTCAGTAATACACATTGTCACTTCTTGGTGATTTTCAGATTTTAATTTAGAAATCTGTTGTCAAAGGTTTGATGTATAAATGACGAAAAAGAAAAGGAAGCTTGTTAAACTAATGTTTGTGTTAGGGGCCTGAGGCTGCTGAGCACCCATGGGATGCTGCCGAGCACCCATGGGATGCTGCAGACCAGGGTTTGGTAATTACACAGCTCTCCCTTCCTCTCCTTCAGCCTGTGCCTGAATCCTCACGTGCTTTTTTTAAATTGAGAAAAAGCAGCTTTCTCTGGGGGTAGTCACGCTGATCTTTCCAAGGTGCAGTGTGTGTGTTTAATATTTCCTATTTTTTATGCAAGAGTGGGTGGCAGGAATGTTTTCCCTTATTTTGTTTTTAACTTGGTGTGCAATTATCTAATATACTGGAAAGTACAGAAGGTGCTAAATACAGTGAGCTATATTTGGAAGTTGAAAAACCCACAAATCACATGCTGTAACATTTTTGAAAGGAGTTGAATTAGTGTTCTTCCTTTTGTACCAAATGCTACAGTATGTCTTTCCCCTTCTCCAGCAGAAATAGACTGGATTTTTAAAAGTGTGTTTTTATTTGTTTGGTGGTTGAATTATTTGTGGAAGTAAATTTGCATAATCAGTTTTGTGAAAGGTTTAAATCACTTGAAAATAGAAAAAAAAAACTTTTTCAAGAAAGAAAATGTTATTCATAGCCAGGAAAATCATTCTAGTATTTAGGTTCTACTTAACTAAGATTAAATATACCTTGGAAATCCTCAAAGTAATTTAATCACTAACTGTAAGACTATTTTTATTTTATCTTTTGAAAATGTGATTATTTTGCATTTCTTTCTGATTGGGATTTTCTTCAGCTATTTCCCCTAACGATAAGTTGGGCTGATATACTTTCTAAGATGAGTATTTGCATGCGTTTCATCCTGCCTTCTTTTTTTCTTTTTCTTTTTTTTTTTAAGACTTATTTATTTTTATTGAAAAGGCAGATATACAGAGAGGAAGGTCTTCCGCCCGATGGTTCACTCCCCAAGCGGCCGCAATGGCTGGAGCTGAGCCAATCCAAAACCAGGAGCCAGGAGCTTCCTCCAAGCCTCCCAAGCAGGTGCAGGGTCCCAAAACCTTGGGCCGTTCTCAGCTGCATTCCTAGACCACAGGCAGGGAGCTGGATTAGAACGGGTGCCCGAATGGGATCCCGGTACGCTCAAGGCAAGGATTTTAACCACTACGCTATTGCACTGGTCCCTCATCATACTTTCTTAAGATAACCTTTCAGTCCCATCCCCGCCATCCTCCTCAGCTTGGCTCCTCATTCACTAATTGGATTAAAACTGGGAATGGGGTGGGGGTAGCATTTTCAGGAATACTTTATATTTACACTGATAATTTTGTTTTTCAGTCTTGCAGATTGCTGACGATAACAACAACATTAAGTTCATGTTGCAGAAATACCATTTAAGTAAAAACGTATTTTGAACATGGATACTTTGGTTGGCACTGGAAAGATACAAATCTGATAAAACAGATGACTTCCCTTCCAGGATCTTATCCTTGGGCTGGAACTTCTAGACAACAGGCAGGCAAAATTAGGATACAGTTCTAAAGAAAATTACAGGGTCAGGGAAAGTTTTGAAGAGTGAGGGATTTTTAAACTATGTTATGTCTTAAAAATGAACATTTTCAGTAAGCTTGATGACTTAGTAAGAACAAGGAGAAGTTGGAGAACAACAAATATGTCATATGGTGGCTTGGATATGAAAATGTATTGGGGAGGAAATCCCAAAAGGTGAGACTGGAAAGGTTGGGAAAGGCATGGTGTCCTGCTGAGGAGTGTGCATTTTATCATGTGTTCAATAACTCCGTGTGAGATATGAAGGGATTTGCTTTGTTAGGACAAGCGTGATGCAGTGAGCTGGATCCGTTTAAGACATGGCTGTGATAACAGGCACAACCTGAGACGTGCCACAGTACAGATGAACAGAGAGGACCAACTTTTAGTTAACTGCTTCCCCTCTCTCGAGAGCTGTGTTCCATCCTCTTACCCATGTTGTTATTTGGTTGTTAGCGCAACTTTGAGGAGGAATAGTGAGCTACCTATGGTCACTGCTGTGTGCCTGGTCTTAACCTGTGCTGACATTACTCAGTTATACTAACTCTGCAAGGCCAGTGTTAGTATCCTTGTTTTGGAGATGGGATTCAGGCTTATAGAAAGTCAGCTGGATTGACCGAGCCAAGAGTTCATGGCTAGATAGAGGCATCAATGACTTTTGTTGTCAGATATAATATTTAGAATCCTACCTCTTTATTTTACTTTGTCAGTAAGATGTTGATGGGGAAAGATCATGTTTAAAGATGATGACATGGCCATTGAAGAAGAGGCTGGGTAAGTGCCTCGAAGAAATTTTGTGTAGTGCATAGCAGTTGTGTTCTGGATATATTGTATCTG